CATCTTACAGCTTATAAAACCTGGTTTAAAACCTTTTTTGAAAAATACAGTGTTCAGTTTGAAAAAATTGACCAACAAAAAACAAGTAACTATATCAAAATGCTAATATCACAAAAACTTACTGAGGAATGCAAAAAACTCTTGCCAGTATCATACTCTTTACCAGACTCATTATGTACACTTAAAGAGCGCTCCAAAGCAACCTTCAAAGCAGCTCTTCATCATATTCACCTTTGCATCAACAAAGACTGCGATCTACTACCCAAATCAACTGAACATAATTTAGGAAATATCTCCAAATTGTATTTTACTAACTCTTTTAATACCCACCCAGTATTAGAATCAGAACAAAGAGAATGGGTATACCCAACTCTGGAAACAGATATCTTTCTTCCCAAAAAGAAACTTGCAGCAAGCTTTTCCATTCCAACACCTACAGAAGAACTCAGAATCTTAGCAAACTCCACTGAAAAGACCTTTGCACATTTTAATAAAGTAGAAAGTAACATAGCCCGAGCTACATACTACTTTTATCGCTACCTAAGAGCCTTTATGCTAGCAGCAAGGGACAATGATGAACTTATAGGTTTATCTAAAAAACAAGCTCTAGAAAAAATGATCAAAACAACAAATGATATTCATACTCTTGCAAGAATCATTACATATTTCAAATTAGAAATGAAATTCAAAATATCACTAAAACAAATACACATTAACTATAATCAATTCTACTATCCTGAAGCTGAAGATTTTCTGATAAAACATCTAAAAATCTCAATTCCAGAACAATACGATGATTCCCTTTTCATACAAAATCCTGATACATCTACCTCACAAGAAGTAGATAAAAACACATCTATACCTCCAAAAGAAACTTCAAATAGCAGTAAACAGAAACCAAAATTGCAACCAATAACCCTATTACTAAACTACAAAAATCCCAACACTTCAAATACTTGTGGTTATGCACTGATGGCCCTAAAGCAGGCACAGCTATTATGATTCACAAGTCCATAAAAACTCATATTCACAAAATACTTTCTTTTCCAGGTTACGCTATTGCAGTAGATATTTTCTTTAAACATGACTTCAAATTCAAAATTATCTCAGTTTATCTACCATGTGATAATACTCAACTAAGACTGTCAGTACAAAATACTGTAATACAATGGCTCCAACAAGCCTATACATCAAACATCCAACCTATCGTCTTGGGAGACTTTAACGCTTCTGACAATGCTACTTACTCCTCATCAATTAAATATAAGCTGCTTCATTTTCTTCAATACAACAACATGTACAATTTGGCTACATATACTCAAACTTTAACATCCACTTGGCAAAGCAACAGATACCATAGTAGCATAGATTACATTTGGGCTAACCAACCTCTTCTTCGATATCTTAACTCTTTTATCATAGATGATTCTGATACTAGCACACAAAGCGATCATAAAATTCTGAACTCTTGTTGGTTCTTTCCCTATGCATATGTAGGCAAACCTAGATATTCTACTAAAACTCACAAGAGAACATTTTTATACAAAAACATGGATAGAGACAAATGGCAACAATTTGCAGACCAAGTAACCTTAAATCTTAATAATTGTAAAACACCACTTACTACACAAACCTCAGAATCACTGGAATCTTCTTGGCACAAAATCCAAAACAGTGTTATCTCAGCAGCTATACAACACATCCCAAATAAAAAATTCACAGTTAGAAACTTTCAAAATATTTTCTCTACAAAGGCATCATCTTTATACCAATATCTCAAAAAACTAGGCAACATCATTAAACAAGCCAAATATTCACTAAAAAATTCTACTTCTATATCACATCAACACAATCATCTTATTAATCAAATAAATATATCAAACCACCTTAATATTCCACTCTTACCAGCTGAGCATAATTTATTGCCAAACTGGCTCATACTTGCTAAAACTGAATGGAAATCTGTCTATTATGCTCGTAATATAGAAAACATTAAAGAAATAAGACAACAAATCAATGATAATATTGCCAAAAGATGCTCCAAACTTCAATCAAACCCAAAATCAATGATTAATAGTATACTTAGCTGACACAAGGACCCAGTTAAATTTGATAATATTAGAACAAACAATGATGTAATTACTGACCCCCAAGATATCAAATCTCACATTCAACAACATTTTGATCAATAGACGTCATCTAGACAGGTCAACCAACAAATCTTTGAATCTAACTGGAAAGAAGAATATAACTGCAAATTACACATTAACTCCCATTGGTATAATGATGTTTTTAAAGAATTTACAATTAGTGAAATAACTGAAACATTATCCCAACTCCCAAACAACAAAGCCTGCAGCCCCTTTGGCATCAGTTATGAAATGCTAAAACATGCAGGCACACTTTTCTTCCAAGCAATTACAACCTTATTAAATAGATGTATTATTACAAACCAAATTCCTAAACAATGAAAAGAGGGTAGAATATTTCCAATTTCTAAAAAACCTATATTTGACTGCAATTTAATCAATACCAGACCTATTAGTTTTCTTGAACATGCTAAAAAACTATATACAAAACTTCTTACAAACCGTTTAAACCAAGTATTTACTAAACATGAAATCTTATCACCTTATAATTATATTACTCTGCCAGGCAACAGTACTGCTATACCTATTTACATTCTTAACAACATAATCGAAGATGCATCTTGCAACTCCAAACAGCTTTGGCTTATATCTCAAGATATGAGCAAAGCATATAACTCAGTTAACCTAAACTTGTTTGAAAAAGCACTCAATCGCATCAATATGCCATCTAAATTAATCAATATACTCACCAACCTATTAACAGACCGCCAAAATAGAGTAATCACTAACTTTGGCCTAACTAACCCATATACAGTTAAAAATGGAATAGACCAAGGAGAAACAATAACTCCCTTATTTTGGCGTATTTATTATGATCCACTCATCTCCAATATTGCATCTCAACATGAAAGTTATCGATTATCTACAACTTGGAAAACCCACCTCCAACCACCTAGATCACAAAGCCTTCATGCATCTACATCTGTATTAGCTTATATGGATGATACACTTTGGATAGCAAAAACAAAACATGAACTAGAACAAATTACACAAACTGCATCATCATTCTATCTAATGGCTGACATCCAGATCAATGCTACCAAATCTGTCTTTATTTCTAATTCACCTTTATCTAATATCCAATTCTTCAATTCCAATCTAGAATCTATACCTGCTAGCCAATCATTTAAGTTTTTAGGTTGTTGGTTTACTCTCAACAATAAACAAACTCAACAAATCAAAATTATCTGTGAAGAAACACTTCAACTTACAAATATAGCCAGTACAAAGAAAATTACAGATAAACAAATTATCTATATTATTAATACTGTCATTATACCTATACTTGAATATAGATTACACAATATTATTATGCCCCACTCTACATGCAATAATATTCTTGCTAAATACTTAACAGTAGCCAAACGTAAATCTTCTTTAGCATGCTCAATCCCCAATAGCACTATGCTTAACCTGTATTTGTATAACATTTATAATATATGGGATATTCAACTTCAACACCATATCACCAACTTTCTATTGCGAATTGACAACCCTAACTTGCTAGGAACTTCAACATGCATCAAACTGCAGCAGCTTCAAAACAACCTATGGTCAACCACAAACATACTTCAACATCCAAACCCTACTATTGATGGCCCCAACAGACATACCTTAAATTTTAAAATTATTCAATTACTGATACATCTAAATATATCAATAACAGCTAACTCCAACATCTCATAGCCAAATAATATATCATACAATCTTCAATCCTTAGAATCAATTTTATCTCAACATCCTCAATATATTAGCTTCAAGAAACAAATTAGAAACCTCAATATTTTATACCTTGAACAGCTCTGCACAGCCGATAACACCACTTTACTTAAATGGAAACACCTTTCACCATGACTTTTACACTTAACTAAAGGCCGCAAACCATTATGGTTTACCTATTTAGAAGACACTATAATGGCTCACAGTAGCTACAGAGTTCTTCTTCCACACTACCAACAACCAGGATATAACCCATTTGCATATAGCTCACAACATATTTCAAAAAAATCCAAACCCTGGTTACTCATATACAATAACAA